ACAGGGAAGATCATGACCATTAAGCAAAACACAAGCAGTAACAGCATTCTTTTTTTTTTTTTTTTTTTTTTTTTGCGGTACGCGGGCCTCTCACTATTGTGGCTTCTCCCGTTGCGGAGCACAGGCTCCGGACGCGCAGGCTCAGCGGCCATGGCTCACGGGCCCAGCCGCTCCGCGGCACGTGGGACCCTCCCGGACCGGGGCACGAACCCGTGTCCCCTACATTGGCAGGCGGACTCTCAACCACTGAGCCACCAGGGAAGCCCAGTAACAGCATTCTGACATAACACCACCCCTGCCTGTGGGTTTTGTCCTGAGCTGCAGTACCATACCACCTGTCCACCCTCAGTCCCCACGGCCGGTGCCAAATACTGGAGAGGGGGTTTAACAGACCATAGGGTTAATATAATGGCGTCTTTCTTTCTACAGTAAGGGGCCTGGATTTATTACCTTAGTAGTCTTAGGTGGGGCTGGGTAGAAGAAAGGTGAAATCTATTAATTCCTTTTTAGTCCTAATCTCCATGGGACGGCAAACCCAAACCGCCAGGGGACTTACCTGCCAGTCCCAGGGCCATTTATAATATGTTCCCCTGGGGGTAGATTCTGTGGGAAGGGCAAAAGTGAGTTACTGTCCTGATCATTAGGTGGCAATGGTCCTGGGCCGCTCAACAGTTGAACTCAGATAGTGTTGACTAGTTGCCTCTGGGTTAACACGGCATAGGCACTGGGATGATTGCTCCTGGGGTGTTTAGCTATAAATTTGTATGAGCTGAGTTAGCCTCCTGGTCCACAGGTTGAGACAGCAGGTCTCCTGTCTCAATTGTTGTTTAAGTAGGCCGCTCATCCTTCAATTAGCCTTCAATTAGCAGCAGTGGGGTTGGAGAGCAGGTGAAAATGCCAGTGTATAGCATTTTATCGGCCCAGGCCTGAACTTCATGGCTGCTAAAGTGGGTTTTTTTGCATTGCTTAACAACGCGGGTAGGCCTTTTGTAATACCTTCCACCTGTTGTAAGGCCTTGTAGGCTGCATATAGCTTTGCTCCATCACACTGTATCGCTGCTCTGCCCCCTGCCATAGCTGGGACCAGAAGCCCAAGGGTACCTTTATTGTTTTGCCGTTGTCCCAGCCTCAAACAAACCCTTCAGGGTAACTGGCCACGTCCAATTCACAAGCCCGTCCCTCAGTGAATATCCTTAAAGCCTGTGTCTGTAATTGTTTGGGGGTGGCAGATCAGGGGTATGTTTGTATTTTGTAGATAACAACAACAAAAGAAAGCAGAAAGGCTCTTGCGTTTTGTCTGTATTCACCAGCCCTCCTCATGCACTGGGCTGCTGCTTTTAAACTGGAAAGAGGCTCTAAGGTTAACAGGATGTCATCAATACAACGGGACAGAAAGACAACTCTCACAGTAGTCAGCTGCCGTGGGGCCCCACATGCTGGTGGACGGCCACCCCAGGATTACCCCCGCAACTTTCCATTCCCCGTCCTTATTCCCCGGCATCTCGGCTCTCCCGGGAGTTTCCTCAGCGTTTTGGCTGACTCACCGTTTGTTGAGCTGCACCCCGCAGGCCTGCAAGCCTTGTCGACGCCCAGCCTTGTGACCGAAGAAAGTGCCCGGAGATAGTGACAAAGACATCAGTGGCTTATTGGACAAGGGATCTTACACGTCCAAAGCAGAAGGGTCCTAGAGCCACAACATACCACCTTCGGCAGAGAGCAGGAAGAACATAACAATCCCCACTCGGGAGGGAGGAGGCTACCATTTATAGGGGGAATTGACGTCAGGCTGGCTCATCAGTTACCAAGGAAACCAACAGCTGGGGCAGTGGGTAGGCAGTTACTAATTAAGCCCTATAATTAAAAGGATTGGATACTCATGTGAGTGAAGCAGGGACTGGTCGAGCAGGGGGATGTAGAGAGAGCAAGAGAACAGCCATCTTGAATGGCCTAACCCTACATGGGCCGACTGAGCTGGGTGTTTCAACAGTAACGTGGACAAGCAGCCGGTAAAATACCAGAGGCTACAGCTTAGCTCTGACAAAAGTGCAGCTCATGAAGTCCACCACGGGGTGCAGATACTTCTGCGGCTGCAGTACAGCACCAGTGACCAGCTCCCAAAGAAACTGTGCAGTCATCCTGGACTTTGTATTGGGAAGACAGTGTGGTCCAGTGATCCTCTGCATGAAAGCCATTGTGATTCTTCTCACCTGTGTTGGTGGAACTGAGAAAAGCAAAGGTTATCATTGCAACACGAGTGTCTGGGCTGGATCATAAATAGAACTGGATTCTGTTGGAATGTGAAGTTAGACAAAGGAAACACCATATTCTGGTCTATAATGGGGCCTGAGGGCATCATGAGGGATGTATCTGACAGTCTAGGAGGTGGTAGTTAGTAGAAGCCAGCTTGCAGGAAGGAACAAAGTATAGGACTCCTGAAATAAAAGTCACCATAAATAAGGAGGGTTTGTCTAGCCACCGGGATAAGACTTGACAATTAGGCTTTGTGGGGAGAGGAGAGCAAATGTTCAGTTCAACCTCCATGCTGACCTACATCTCTAGGGGGCAGGGCACATGAACCTCTTAGAATAGAGAGGGCTGTGTGTTAATAATGGAAGAGCTCAAGCATTAGGGGCCCATGTTCTCTACTATGGGATCCTCCTTCAAAAAATTGCAGGATGGAAAAGAGAAGACCTTTCCCTACCAACTGAGGAAAGCTGGCATTATAGATTCCATAATATACAGGGATCATCAAAACCCAGGAGCAAGTCAGCACCTCCAGTGGGGTGGCCAAAGGAGAGGATTGGAGACCTGGGGTGGCTGGTGTGTAGACCTAGGTGAAGGGTTGATGGAAGAGATAAAGTCACAGGGATCTAAAAGCAAGCAGAGATGCCGGCAGCTGCCCCACAGTCACTGGAAGTTAGAGCTTCCTTGGGGATGGTTGCAACAGTATATTAGCAGCTCAGGGATCCAAACTGGCCACTAGAGCCATGGAATGGACAAACACTGGCAAAAAAGGTGGAGAGATTCGGGCAACCAAGTTAAGGGGAGGCCATCCCATAAAAGGCAAGGGGGAGGCTGTCCTACATCTAGAGCAGGAAGCAAAAGAGTGACCCTTGCCGGGTGGCAGCTCTCCCAGCCACTGGCTCCCACAGGCTGCTGCCTTGGCAGCCCTTCCACCTGCTCCACCCCTGCTCAGGTATGCCAAGGAGCTCCCACCTCTTTCCTAGTATCTGAGCCGTAATGTGGACATGAAGGAGAAAGAGAAGTGGGCACAGCAGGTGCTGGCTCTTGGACTCTGCAGACACAAGCTGCTTTTGCAAGAGGTGGAGGTCATTGTACAACTTGCTGGTCTTCTCTGGACCTTGGATTCCCGGACATCTGTGAAATACAGACACTGATGCTGCCACTTAACTCACAGGGCTGCAGTGAGGTGCAGATGAAATCGTGGACTGAGGGTGCCCTATGAACTCTAAGGTGATGTGTGTGTAGTTTTACGAACATCAGTGACAGGTGTCCAGAACCCAGGTGGGGTGAAATTGAGTGTGTCAACAAGGAAGTAAATTGCCTTACTTCTTGATGCGAGTTCTTGGGAAACCGGGGCTGGGAGGCTTACATTACAGGGCGTGTATAAATAGCCCGTGCCTGCCCAGGAAACTCTATTTGCCTGGAGATTCTGGAGCCCTAAAGGAAGCAACTGTGAGTGTCTCTGTCCTTGCCTCTCATTCTGTTTTCCCAATGTCTGGTGAATATCTTCCTGCCTGTCTGGGTGGTTTACCCTAGGGGTGTTGAGGAAGGCAGGTCTGTGCAGCTGCTCCCGTCTCGGAGGGTAGCTGTTGCAGGTGAGGGCACAATGGAGTACGAAGGAGCGCTCTTCATTCTGTTCCCTTTGCTCAGTAGGAGATGTGTTTCCTGCGCTGGGAGAGGTTGGGTGAGTTGGATGTGACATCCAACCAGACCTCAGATGCCATTGTCTGGAATCCCCTGTGGAAAATGCAGTTCATCTTCCTCTTGGAAGGAGGCACTTCTCTGGCCAGGAAGCCTCTCCCCTCCCACTACCTCAGCCTGCCTCGTGACCCCCTGTCCTTTGCACAGGTCCTCAGGCTTTGTTCCCAGCCTCTGCAACTCCCATGAGCCCTTTCCATGCTCGTAACTTTACAGCTTCTCTCTGAGAGAGGAACGAAGCCCAATGTTGGGCCCAGGTCCTGCACCCACCCTGACCTCACTTAATTCCTGAGTCCCTTTCCGATGGTAACCGGATGTGCTCTTGGACATCTGCTCTTTCCTCCCCGAGACTAGCCTTCCCCTGACTGTGCCCGTCTCACACGTCCCCTTCCTCCATGAGGCCCCTGTTCCAAGTCCTCTCAGGAGGCCTGGACAGGACTCTAGGTGTCCCATGGACTTTCCTCATGGAGCCCGGGAATGGCAGATCACCTGGCAAACATGCAGTCATTCACCCATCCAGTGCTCGGGGCTCTGGCTTTTTCTCAGGCAGCCCTTGAGACCACCAGGACTAGTCCATCCAAGGCAGCAAGTGAGAGGAAACGAGTTTGCCTTGTCGGAATTAAGTCAACCAACTTACTGGTACAGAAAGGGAGAAGGAGGTCCAGAGATGGGAAGGGTCCCGCCCGAGAGCTCTCAGTGAGTCCTTCCTGATGTGACAGATGGCCTAAGTGAGGAATTCTACATCCTTGCCACAGTGCCCATGGCAGTGCCCAAGGGGAGGCACAAGAAGGGATGACACAGAGCATCTAAGAATAGGTTCGTGCTGCTGGTCACCCCCGTCAGAAGTCCAGCTGGTCAACTCATGTGCTCTCAGGCCAGACCTTATGCCCACCTTGTCCCTAAACTGCTTTCAGAGCCCCGCTGCTCTTGGCCCCAGAGCAGAGGAGAGGAGGTTGAGGATGTGCTTCTCCTCGCCTCCAGGAGCTAGGCCAAGCCCTAAAATCCACATCCTCGCACCAAAAGCATGCCCCCTTTCTTCCTGTTCCTCTGCCTAGGACATGCTTCTCCTCCCTCTCTCCACGCTGATTCTGCTCTCACAGCCCCCAAGGTCTCTGGGGGCAGAAATGAAGATCTATTCCCAGAAAACACTGGCCAACGCCTGCACCCTGGTCATGTGTAACCCCCCGGAGAAGGGCCTGCCTGGTCGTGATGGACAAGATGGGAGAGAAGGCCCCCAGGGCGAGAAGGGGGATCCAGGTAGAGCTGGGACCATGGGCTTGTCCTGGTGGGAAGGGGTGGGCATTGGAATTGTAACCAACCCAGAAACTCTGGATTTTCTTCTGTGTAAACCTTGGAGATGGTCTTCTTCATCCCGCATGGGTGGGTTTCCCCCAGATATCCAGCCCACTTAAAACACAGCCTTACTGGTTGGCAAAGACGGGCTGCCCCGAGCCCCCAGCTCCGTCAGCAGCTGCCCTGATTCCTCCGCTAGGATCTTGACTCCACCCACCCAAGAAGGAGCAAACAGTGAGTAAATGACTGGTATTTGGGGTCCTCTAGAACCATACTCCAGAACTTAATTGTTGTTCATTCTGCTTACATGGTGCCTCTGCAGGATGTTAAATATTTTTAATATGCAATTAAACTCTACTCCATGAGGGGTGGGAAAGGATGAGGCTCTGTGGCCCCATACTCAGGCCTGGTCAAAAGGATTTCCCTAAATACATTATGGAGAGAGGAGAGAAGGAAAGGCAGCTGACATTTCTTTGTTCAGCCCCGTGCTTGGGTGTTCACTTGAGTGGTTTATTTAATCCCACCAAAAGTCTTACAAGGGATGTATTAATCTCATTTGATAGGTAGGAAAATTGTGACACAAAGGTGCTATGTGAAACCCAACCTGGAAGATGAAAGGGACATGGGCTTCTGTATCAGACACATCTGTGCTCGACTGCTAGCTCCAGCTCCACAGCAGGGACCCCCAGAGACAAGCCACTCAGTGTCTCTGAGTCTCAGTTTGCTCATCTGTAGATGGGAATAATATCTACTATACAGTGACAAATCATTGAGCCAAGGCTTCATTCTCCTGTTGAGTCTTCAGGATAAAGTTGCATCTTCTTGCTGCACCAATGAGGTGAATTCTCCTGAGGTTTCCAAAGGTACTGATTATTAAGGGAATTGTCCGAGAAATACTGCCCCACAGGGGAGGATCTGGGTCTTACTGGCAAGAAGTGAGAATTCAATGAACCAGCAACAAGAACAAGGGGACCACCATGGCACTAGGCCAGGGCTATGCAGGGATCAACTGAGGTCTTTATCTTTCTGGAGTTTGCATTTTGGTTGGGGAGGAAGAAAACGAGCAGCATTTAAGCTGGAGAGAATAGGTAACATCCCCAGGCTTTGTAGGATAAGGGACAATTATCGGTCTGTCCTTAACAGACAGAAAGTAGTTCCCAACATAACTGGGCTGGGGCTTGGAGAAGGTTGCCTGGAAGTGAACTCAGGAGGAGGGTGGTATTCAAGGTGCCAGCTCTCTCTAGCTCCCAGTGGGGCCCTGAATTGAATCCCGGGGCAGGGTGTGGGGTAGGGAGCCTTTCCTACAGTGGCTCTCTGAGCAGCATGGATGTGGCTGAGCCCTCCCCTTCTTGTGCGTTCCAAGCCTGGCCTTGGGTCAGTGCTTGGAGAGAGAACACTGCACAGCTGGACCAAGGACCAGGCTCCTCTCTGGCTCCTCAGTCCCAGGCACTTTAGTTATTCAACTGTTATGGGTCTGAGGATTTCCTGGAGATCAGAGCATCCTCAGAATCCTGACCCAGTAGGTCTGGGTGGGGCCAGAGTCTGCACTGGTGACAAGATTCTGATGCACGTGGTCCCAAGAACCTGCTGTAAAGCACAAGGTGGGCCTGAGAGGAGAGACCCTTGGGCAGAGGTAGAGGGTGGAGCTGGGTCACTTGGTGATGCTCCAGACATTTCATGCAGGGCCAATAAGACCCGGACCCTGCTTGGGGGGCTGAATTTCCAAGGACAATTCCCTCATTCCTCAGCACCTCCAAGACCCCCGCCCGAAAGGATTCAGTGAGAGAGTCCTCCCAGGGGCGCACATCTCCCTTGGAGTAAAACCTCACACCCCACAGCAGTCCCCAAGACCACCCTCCACCCCTGCTGATCTCTCTGATCTCATTTCCTTCCACTCCTCCCACTCTCCCTGGGCCCTGACCACACTGGCTTGTCACTGGTCCCTAAGCACGCTTGGCCCCCTGCCTCCTCAGGGCCTTGCTCTTTCCATACACATCCCCATGGCTCACTCCTCACCTCCTTCATGGCCTTAGTCACAGACAGAGTCCTTCTCTGGCCCTCCTATTGGAGAGAGAACACTGCACGGCCCCACCAATACTCTATGCTTTATTTTTCCTCTGTGGCACTTATTCTGATCTTATAAATTGTCATATGTTGTACATTTTAATTTTGATTATCTATTTCTATGCAGTTGAGTTTAAGTTCCATGAGGAAGGGATTTGGTTTTTGTCTGTTTTCTTCGCTAATAAAATCCCAGCATTTAGGACAGTGCTTTGTACCTAGTAGAAGCTCAGTGAATACTTGTGGAATAAATGAATGTAAATTGCCAAGACAGGAGGAATTTTAATACAGTTAAGACTGGCCAAATCGGTGGTGCATAAAACTTCACTTCGGGTGGCAGTAAGGTACAGGGCTAGGACTTCGGGGGATGCTAGGATGCAAAATGAGTGCTTTGGGAGGCATGGTGCTTGCTGCTGAAAAAGGGTGCTCTCATGGCCTCCACAGTTTGTGCACAAGGATGGGCAACCTCTAATGCTCCCCTCTAAGGAGTGGCTTTTTTTCCCACGTACCTGCTGCCACCCCGGCCAGTGGGGAGCCCGAGAGAGGCTTGGCCTGGGGCCAGGATGTCTCTGCCTGAGCACGGCACACTGTGGGATTGGGATGCAGGCCCGTCCTCTATGCTTCCATTCCACGCCTAGTGAGGACTGTAACTAAAAGCAGAGCACAATGCCCAGCACAGAAGCTCTCAGCCACCCGTCAAATGCACAGTCTCCCACCACCAGCACATGCTTGGCCCAGGCAGGCCCTGGCCTTTCTTACCCTGGAGCACGGTTTCCAAATCTGAAATGTCACCTCTCTTCTCCTTGAAGTCCTGTTTCCTCTGACTATGTGTGTGTGCTGGGGTTGGAGGTGCTGGGATGGGATGAGGGACATCTCATAAACTGTCTTCCTCGCTCGTTACCCATGCCTCACAGTTTAAAATTCAGTGACAAATCCCTTGCAGACCAGGACCTGGTGCTCACATTTACATCCTGCTCAGTGCTAAGCAGAAAGTTATGTTCCATAGTTCGTTTCCCAGCGAACAAATAAATGAAACAATGAGGAAATGAACAAATAAGTGAATGAATAAGTTAGCAGCACCTGACAGGTGTCATTTCTTCTCTTGTTTTTTTGCACATGAATGCTTTATTCACAACAGCCAAAGGATGGAAACAGTCCATGTGTCCATCAACGTTTATCCGTGGTGAATGGATAAACAAAACGTGTTGTGTTCATACTCTAGAACATTGCTCAGCCACACAAAGGAATGAAGTGCTGAGACGTGCTACAAATTGGATAAGCCTCGAGAACGTCACTCCGAGTTAAAAAAGCCAGACACAAAAGCTCATATATTGTATGTATTTACATAAAATATCCAGAAAAAGTAACAGAGACAGAAGCAGAATGGTGGTAGCCGGGCCTGCGAAGAAGCAGGGACAGAGTTATAACGGATATGAGGTTTTCTTTGGGGTTGATGAAATATTTTTGAACTAAATAGAGGTGGTAGTTGCACAAAGCTGTGAATGTGCTAAACGCCAATGACTTGTAAAATTTAAAAAGGTTAATTTTAGGGAATTCCCTGGTGGTCCAGCGGTTGGGACTCAGCCCTCTCACTGCCAGGCCCCAGGTTCGATCCCTGGTCAGGGAACTGAGATCCGGCAGGCTGCACGCGCAGCCAAAAAAAAAAAAAGGTTAATTTTATATTATGTGAATTTCATCTCAATGAAAGAATAACCAAACTCACAATTTTACACACAGTGTAAAATTCTTAAATCGAGGTAGATCTCATATAATTTCAGACTTAGGCAGTCTTTCTTGAGGTAACAAGTTTAAAATGTTTGGTCATTTTTCCAATAAAAAATAATATGTGTAAAAAAAAATAATAATAATAATAAGTGGTCACTAAAGATAAAAGGAAGAAAATTAAAAATACCTTAATTGTACCACTTAGAAACAGCAACTGTTAACACTTTTGTAGGTGCTGTTCTTGTGGTTTATCCAATGCGTTTTACGTGTGCACACGCCCTACACATTCACGGACATATTTAGGAAACAGAATCGTATTAAATAGAGTGTTTATAGCATACTTTTATCACTTAATGATGCATAATAATTTGGTCTAATTTCTATAGTTTTAAGAGCATGTTACATAGCTTTTTCTCTTCTTTTTATTACAGTATAATTGATATATAATATTATATTACTTTCAGGTGAAAAACATAATGATTTTATATTTGTATATATTGTGAAATGATGATAAGGCTTATCAAAATCCATCAACACACAGAGCTACAATTTTTTGTGTGCGTGATGAGAACTTTTATGATCTCCGCCCTTAACAACTTTCAAGCGTGCAACACAGTATTATTTACTATAGTAACCTTGCTGTACATTACATTCCTGGGGCTCATTTATTTTATAACTGGAAGTTTGTACCTTTTGACTACTTTCACCCGTTCTGCTCACTCCCCAGCCCCACCTCTAGCAACTACCAATCCGTCCTCTGTATCTATGAGCATGCTGTTTTGTTCATCTGTTTTTTAGATTCTACATATAAGTAAGATCGTATGGTACCTTTCTCTGTCTGACATATTTCACTTAGCATGATGCCCTCAAGGTTCACCCAGGTTGTTGCAAATGGCAAGATTTCATTCCTTTTTACAGCTGAATAATATTCCATTGTATATACGCCTTGCATTTTCTCCACCCATTCATCTATCCATGGATACTTAGGCTCTAGGCCACCTCCAGGTCTTGGCTACTATAAACAATGCTGCAATGAACTTGGAGGCACATAAATCTTTTTGCATTAGTGTTTTCATTTTCTTTGGTTAAATACTCAGAGGTTGAATTGCTGGATTGCATGGTAGTTCCATTGTTAATTTTTTAAGGAACTTACATACTGTTCTCCATAGTGGCTGTGCCAGTTTACATTCCCACCTACAGTACACAAAGGTTCCCTTTTCTCCACACCCTCCAACACCTGTTATTTGCTGACTTTTTGATAATAGCCATTCTCACAGGTGTGAGGTGGTAGCTCATTGCGGTTTTGATTTATATTTCTCTGGTGATTAGCATCTGGTGTCATTTCTGATATAAACTTTGGTTCTGGGAAGGGGGAGGGCAAGGAGTCCATGATCAAGGGCAAAAGCTGACAGACTTGTCTGCTATAAATACTGTGGCCTTGGGGCAGGGGAAGGTGCATTGTATGGAAAGTCAGGGCAGGTCTTGGTTTGATCTGCCTCCAGCTCTGGCAAGCCTGTTTCTTCACCTGTAAAATGGGGATGTGGACGCCCATTTCCTGGATCACCACTGGACCGGGTCTTGTGGAGATGAAGTGTCTACACCTTATAGAAACCTGAAGGAATATCACCTGGCTCCTCCGGGACCTGGGGCCAGGCTTATGCCCATTTCTTCTGCTGCCATAGGTTTACCAGGACCTGTAGGAGAAGCAGGGATGCCTGGACCAGCTGGCCCAGTTGGGCCCAAAGGGGACAATGGCTTTGCTGGAGAACCCGGGCCAAAGGGAGACACTGGACCACCTGGTGAGCAGCTGGGCATGGAATGCAGATGTCTGCAGGTGGTGTGCTGTCGCTAGGACATGCCAGTAGGCATGCACAGATTCTACCCCAGGAAGGAGGCAGAAGGTTGTTTTCAAGGTGGCGCTGGGTTATTTCAGGGAAGACTGGAGCTGCTGTGGGGCAGCACCTCTAGGAGGATGCTGCCTCTCAGACTTCTATTACTGCCCTCATCTTTTATGCACTCCCACTTCCAAGGAGATTCAGTGTCACTAACTGGGCTGGTCCTTTTCCCCAGGGCCTCCAGGACCTCCAGGTAGGCCTGGTCCAGCTGGAAGAGACGGTCCCTCAGGGAGGCAGGGGAACATAGGACCTGCAGGTGCACCAGGCCCCAAAGGCGAGACTGGACCCAGAGGTAGGTGGCTGGTATGTGACGGGTGTGGGAAGGAGGCGTGGCAGTCTGTGATGGGGCCTAAGGCACGCGCACAGCGCCTGGAAAAGCCCGGACCATCTGCAGCGGGTAGGCCTTGCCAGGGTCTCTCTCCGCAGATTCCCACACTGACCGTATTTCCCCGATACCCTCCCCAGAGGAGGCCAGGCATTAAGGAGCACCATCTCCCAGTTCATTCTCTCACCTGGAGCTGTGGGTGAAAAGCTCCGCTTCCGAGGCAATGATAAGTGCTGAGCGCACTCTCAGCCGTGTTCGTCCCAATTTGTTCCTTCCTCAGGAGGAGTGGGTGCCACAGGCATGCAGGGCTCCCCGGGGACAAGAGGCCCCGCAGGTCTTAAAGGAGAGAGAGGTGCCCCCGGTGAACGCGGAGCCCCTGGAAGTGCTGGGGCAGCAGGTGAGTGATGGAAGCTGGGCTGGGCTCCTGTTCCCCTGTGCCCACCATCACCACGCGCCAGGTCAGAGCTAGCACTCCAGGGCGACAGCCAGTGTTGGGCTCTGGGAACTGTCTGTCTCTAGGGAGAGGGTAGGGCGAGTAGCAGGGACCGTCTATGTACAGGGAAGGTTGGTTGTTGGGTGACAGGGACAGTCAGTACACAGAGAGGATGCAAGGCTGGGTTCAGGGCACAGAGGGACATATGTATATGGGGAGGGTGTATTGCTGGGCGATAAGATAGTCCATGTACTGGGGGAGGTGAAAATGCTAGAAAATGTGTTCAGAACTCACCCAATTCTTCTTCTCTGATCCCAGGGCCTTCTGGAGCCATGGGTCCACAGGGATCTCCAGGTGCCAGGGGCCCCCCAGGACTGAAGGGGGACAGAGGTGCTCCCGGAGACAGAGGAGCGAAGGGAGAGAGTGGACTCCAAGGTAAGGAAGATCTGGGGGCCCCACAAGGGCGCGGGTGGGGACGGAGGGTGGGAGGAGGCCCTCCCGGGCCCTCCTCTCAGGCGTCCCCCTTAGTTACAGGTGGGGGGCTGGAAGTCAAAGCGGACGCTGGTCTTAGCCTCTATGACTCGCTGGAGGGCAACCTGAGCAGTTTTTCTGTCTGATCTTTGGGACGAGCACACCTCCCTTCCCAATTCATCAGATAGCTTTGAACTTCAAATAACCCAGTGGATGGGAAGTACTTGAGCTACATGTATTCCTCTACTCCCACCCCCCAAAAGGAAGTGTTAATCAGGTTCCTAGAATTTGGAATTACAGTGTCACCTGGTTCAGTGTCAGTGTGGTGCAGGGACCTGCTCAGGGAACAGTGTTCATAGCAGAAACACAGGAAATCCTGTGGGCAGCACAGGCCCACCTATGTCAGCAGATGTGGGCTTCCTAGGGCTGCGTCCCAGTTCTTTACCCCCACCCCCAATATGTGTCTGCAACTGGGTACCCTTCCCTTGAGGCCCGGGCTCTGAGCTGATCCCAGGCTGTGCTGGACCTCTCTTCACTCGACCTCTCTGCCCTGCAGACATCACCGTTCTCCGGCAGCGGGTGGATACCTTACAGAGACAGCTACAACGCCTCCAGAATGCTTTCTCTCAGTATAAGAAAGGTGAGTTCCTGGACCTGAACCTGAACCAGACACCAAGGGTGGGCCTCATACTAGGTCTGGGTCTTGGCTTGGAGTTGGCTGGGCTTGGGTCTAAAATTGAACTTGGCTGGGACCATGTTTAGGACTGGAACTGGGGCAGGGAGTGGGGCTAAGGATGGGCTGGGACACAGCAGTGCAGCCACGTATTCCAGGAGCTGCAAGTAGATGCAAGGGAAAAGGAGGAGAATGCAGTCCTTGTCACCAATGCAGGAGACCTTCACCCCTGCCTACTCTGGGCATGTGCCTATGATAGACAAGGGGACACCCAACCCACGATGCATCTCTTCCCTCTGTGGAGCCAGGTATGCAAGTACCCAGAGATGCAGCTGCACAGCCCAGGCACCAGAGAATCCAGACATAGTCCTGTGAGCAGGGGCTGGGATGCTGCTCATGGGGTTCAAGTCTGGTGGGGCCCAACCTTGCTATGTGGCCCCTGAGTATCTCACCCTAAAGATGCCGCTGGGTCTGGCAGGGGCAGGCTGCCTGCAGTCTCTGGCCAGTGCTGGACTCTCCCTGCAACTCCTTGGGTGTTTAAAGCAGAGATTCTTCCCTAAGCCTGGAATCCTAAGGAGGCGGAGGCCTCCTGGAGTGCGCACCTGAGTGCCCGGTGCCTTTGGGACTCTCTGCCTCAGTCCCCAACTGCCCCTCCCCCTTCTCTGCTTTCCTTGACATCAGCTTTGAGTCCACATCATTCATCAAACCTCATGATCCAAAAAAAGAAGAGTTTTCTGAAGGAGTAGAGCATAAAGGGGTGGGATATAGATTGGTTCCTAAGGACTCAAGCCAACTAAGTACCTAAGTAGTAAGGATGAGAGTTTCCAGCGTTTGATGTTGTCCTCCCTCTACAAACATATTTGCATACCCGTTCACTTGCTCATATGCACACTGATGTAAACAAAGGAGAACACGGGCATAGGCACCGGCCACATGTGTGGGTACTTAAACACCATCGCACACTCCACACCATCTACATACATGTGCACACATGCACACACAAATATGCACACCCATCCAGATGGACCTTAATTCCACCTGTGTACCTTCAGATGGATATATGGACATATTCACGCATGCACATGCATACCCACCCAGATGCATGGGACATAAACCCAATTATGGCACATGAACTTGCACTGACCTCGTCCAGGGCTGCTCTAGGTGCCATCCTGACCCCGTGGAGAATCTGGCCTCTGAGTCCTTGTTGAAACTACTCAGAGGAGAAGGGCAGTGGGTCAGGGCGTAGTCTGGGTTCCTACCCAGTCCAGTGAGCCCTCTTAGGAGCCCTGAAGATTTCCATGCATGAGCCTAGAAGTCAAAGGGATGGGGATAGGATGGAGTAATAAGAGGTACTTAACATGTCACACAGGTGATGCTTTTATGTAGTGTACACCTACTTTAGAAATAAGGAATGGGAAACCCTGAAAAGGGAAGTGACTTTCCCTTGCCCACCTGGACCGTCATTGTCAGGTTGGGGCTGAACACGTGGCCTTCTGACTCCCAAACAGGGGTCTCTCCAGCGTCGATCCCACTCCTGCCCCCCATTCCCACACACACCTCTCAGAAGCCTTCATCCCCTGTCCAGCGGTCCAGGGAGGCTGACTGGCTGGGGCATCACCCATAAGCATATCAAGAGGCCAACACTGGGCTGCCCCCAGTGCAGAGATTAGCATGTCGCTGCTCTCAGATGCCCCACCCTCTCCTCTCCTTTCCCCTCACCCCTTCACACAGCACAGACCCACTTCTGACAACCCCACATGCCCAGCCATCATGCAGGGGTGAGAGCGAGCCCCCTGCATGGTGTTTTCCACACTCTTAGGAACTGCCCTGGGCAGCACCGTGTCATTTCCCTGGTCAAAGTCATTCCAATCTACACAGTAATTGAAAAACCAGTTCTGGCATATGACATGGGGAGGAACAGAAAGTGCACGTCTAAGCTTTAGTGTCACATCCAACAAGGTTTGATCCTCACTCTACATTTGACAGCTGTGTGACTTTGGGCCTCTTACATAAGCTCCCCGAGTTCCAGGGTCCTCACCTGTAACTGGAGACCACAGCACCACTCACAGGGCGCATCGTGGAGCCAGGGCTGCTGTGGAACCAGTGCCTCGCTTTCATCCTATCTGGTGCCCTGGTACCCTGGATGGGAGGCTGGGGGGCTCTGGTTGGAGCACAAAGGTCCAGGTGCTGCCACACCCCAACCTGACTCTCCTCTTCCCCTAGTGGATCTCTTTCCCAGTGGCCGGGGTGTCGGGGAGAAGATCTTCAAGACGGGAGGTTTTGAAAAAACTTTTCAGGATGCACAGCAGGTATGCACACAGGCCGGGGGACAGATGGCCTCCCCACGCTCTGCAGCCGAGAACGAGGCCTTGAAACAGCTGGTCACAGACCAGAACAAGTCTGCTTTCCTGAGCATGACCGACAACAAGAAGGAAGGCAGCTTCACCTACCCCACAGGGGAGCCCCTGGTGTATTCTAACTGGGCCCCCGGGGAGCCCAACAACGACAGAGGCACAGAGAATTGTGTGGAGATCTACCCCAATGGCAAGTGGAACGACAAGGCCTGTGGAGAACAGTGCCTCGTGATCTGCGAGTTCTGAGCCCCGGGGGAGGGTGGGGCACTGCCCAGAGCTGTATGCTGCCAATGTCCCAATAAAAAGGTGACCCTCAGGCCTTCCCTGGTGGTGCAGTGGTTAAGAATCCGCCTGCCAGTGCAGGGGACACGGGTTCGAACCTTGGTCCGGGAAGATCCCATGTGCCGCGGAGCAACTAAGCCCGTGCGCCACAACTACTGAGCCTGCGCTCTAGTGCCCGCAAGCCACAACTACTGAGCCCACGTGCCACAACTACTGAAGCCCACACGCCTAGAGCCTGTGCTCCGCAACAAGAGAAGCCACCGCAATGAGAAGCCCGTGCACCGCAACAAACACCCAACGCAGCCAAAAATAAATAAATAAATAAAATTTATAAAAAAGAAAAAGGTGACCCTCTGCTGGCCAGGGCTTCTCCACAGAGCCATGGGTGAGCCCAGCAGGCAGGGCTGCTATGGAACGCCTCCCTCAGAATAAAGTTTGAAACTGGCTTCACACCAGGAAGGCCTATCAGAGGAAAAGGGGGCCAGCCTGCTTTCCCAGGGCAAGGGCTAAAATGAGATCTCCAAGACCTTCCTGTTGCAAAATCCAGCGTCTCCTCCTCTGCCCTCCACCTCCTCCAGCCATCGGCCGCATTTGACCCGGCTGATCACTGCCTCCTCCTTCCCTTTTCCTCTTCTGCTTGCAATTTTCTTATCCTTCTGGCTGCTCTGCATCAGCCTCATCCCTCCTCCTCTCCTGGACTGCTCCACAGAGGAGCTCGGGAGCCTCAGCTCCAGTTCCTCTCTCTCCTCATTCTCGCTCCAGGCTTGGGCTCATTCTCTCCCACGGCTTCAAATCCTTTCTATTGATACCTCGCCCATGTAGAGCCCTGTTCTAGACCTCCCCCCGAACCCCAGACTCCTCCAGCCAATGCAATCTGGAGCCCCGGGGCTGGGAGGTCTCAGTGTCTGCCTCTTGCTTCAAGCCCTGAGCCTAGGAAACTGCACAGTTACAGAGGGGTGACCTGGCAGGGAGGCACCTTCCTCTCTGGCCAGATTGAGTGGCCTTACACCCAGTAGACTCCCCTCACCCTTGACCGCCCAGGATCTCTCTCTACCCATGACAGTCTGACTGTGGTTGGCTCAGGGGAGAACATACCATCTGCACAACCCTAATCCCTTCTGAAATGTCAGACACGGAGGGTGCCCAGCCGTGTTCAAATTCATCCCCAAACCTCTCCCTGTCTGGCAGTTCCGGGGATGTTCTCCACTCTGCCTCAGAGATAATCTACTCAAACCCTTCTCATTTTACAGACATGGAAACTAAGACACAGAGAGGGAGGGAACTTGCACAGGTAGTACCGGTGCTACAGCTCATGAAAAAGGCCATCTGACCCCAGAGCTTATACTTCTGGCCTGTAAATTTTTAGGCCAAAGGCCTCTGTATATTTAGTTGATTTTATTGACACACTGCTGCAAAGGAAGATTTAAATGACGTCTGTGCTTAAGAAGTTGGAATGACGCCTGGATGAACCATAGGCTCATGGGAGGGGGCAACGAATACCCCTCCCCCAGACAGGAAATCTACCACTCTTTCCTTTGCTCCCAGGCACCAGGAGGACTGCCCTCTCTGGCCCTTTCTGAATGGGACCCCCGAGCCCTACCCGTCTTCCCAACACTCTTGCAGCCACACTTCATATACGGGACAGCACATCTGAAAACAAAAGCCACACATCTCAACAGCATGCAGCTCAGCCTCCCTGTTCATATCATTCCCCTGTTACTTGAAAAAATCCCCAGTTCCTGGAAGCTTCTGAAACATAAACAGTTACACAATAATGAGCAAACAACTGTCCAGTACAAAGGCCTGGAGCTTAGAACAGACTGCTTTTACTGCAAATAAGAAAAACAACTGGATCTAGTTAAGCCAAAAAGAGGGTGTTTTTAAAGAACAGAGGATTCTGAATTGACTTACGAAGGACTGGGGGTGCACAGGCACCGCTGTGCCACCTCCCTGGCTTCTGCCTCTCTCTGCCCATCCTCACCTCTTTCCCTCCTTTACACACCAGCTTCCTCCGCGTCCAGGTCTCTTGTGTGTCCCAGAGATCAGAAACTCTTGCTTGATATCAATTCAAAACTATGTAGAAATGCATCTACTTGTCTCAGATGCCCACCTCTGATCCAATCAACTCACCCTGGGGGCTGGGGAGGAGCCACATCGTACAGTATGGCCACTGGGATCCTTGCGAGGTCATGGTGGTCTGGACAATGCTCTATGGGTGATCACTACTCATCCCAATATGTAAGCCAAGCCTATTTCTTGACAAGAGGGAAGGAAAGAGTGGCAGAACTATGTGACTCCATAGGAAGAAAAAAAAATCTCCTGTGTTGTTGAAGGCCGGGAACGCTGAGACCCCAAAGCCTAGGAGGAAGCTTCAGATCAACCTGGACCATGGGCCACGGGGGTCTGGTTTGCTTTCCAGCGCAGAGAATAAGTAAGGTGGGTCATTTGGGTTCTGCAGACACAGCCCGATTAAAGCAGAGGATCGAGGCAAGTATTTCAGAAAATGCAGGTCCTTACCCATTCTTGAGCACAGAGGTCTCTCCTACACCATCATTCATGGGCAAAGGTCAACATAGATCTTAAACAATGTCAGCCCCACCCCAACCATAGTAGCCGTGTCCCTAGTTTGGTAGCCTAGGTGCCAAATGAAGCCAGAGCTGTGTGACCCTTATTCTCAAGAGATGTTATGACACTCGCAATGCCAGGTGACATCATGGGAGCAAGCTGGGAGCCTTCCATACCTGGAGAGGGGACAACCACACGAGGAAGTCCCTGTTTTATAGTATATTCTCAAGTTGCGTCCTGGTTCTCAACCCTCCTGTCACCAGATCAGCCCACATCCCATACTGAGCAGCCTATGGGAAGCCCTCTGATGTTTACTTTTCTAGGATTCTATCTTTGTTCTGAATTCCACTGACATAAAACACGGGTATTGGGATTTCCCTGGTGGCGCAGTGGTTAAGAATCCACCTGACGATGCAGGGGACACGGGTTCAATCCCTGGTCCGGGAAGATCCCACGTGCTGTGGAACAACTGAGCCCGCGAGCCACAACTACTGAGCCCACGCACCACAACTACAGAAGTCCAGATGCCTAGAGCCCGTGCTCCGCAACAAGAGAAGCCACCGCAATGAGAAGCCCACGCACCGCAACAAAGAGTAGCCCCCGCTCGCCGCAACTAGAGAAAGCCCCCGTGCAGCAGCGAAGACCCAACGCAGCCAAAAAATATATAAATTAATTAATTTAAAAAATACTTAACTGTAAAAAACAAACAAATAAATAAATCAATCACTGGCATTTGAGTTGCTTACATTCAGAGCATTCTCAATCACTATTACCTTCCAGATGTCCTTAATTCAAGTTTAATCGTGTACTGGATCTTTTTGGGTTACTTGTGTTTTATATAGTAGAGCAAAGATACCAGGTACCTATCAGAAGAGATAAAATATTAATTTATATGCCAAAGACTTATCCAGGCACTGGATACACAGATGGAAACAGCTGGTCATGCCCTCACATATGCTACAGCCCTGCACTTCCTTAACATTAGAGATCAGCTGTAGAATTGTGCTTCAGCAACGGGCAGTGAGGGTGCTCAAGGGGTAGATTGGGAATGAGTGGATGGATTATAGAGCTTTTTAACCAGGAGAATAGAGGAGAGCCATCTTCTTGTGAAGGCACCAAGATACTCAGAGACCAAGACACTTATTATTGTTCAATCTAATCGCCTGTGACTATTAGGCCTCTGTATAGCTAATAACTGGTACCTTTTGGTAGATTTTATTGTTTTTCACTGTTTCAATAAGAGAGGCCTTATGGAGGCAGGCGTTACCCGTGACATGTATTCCTTCTGGATGGAAGCAGTTGAGGGCAAGTGCACATTTCTGAAATGCCCAATTTTCTGCTGCCCTGGTGAGCACAGAAGTGTTGGTGGTTATTGAGTTGGACGATCCAGGATTCTGGACACCTGAGCAAATGGATGCAAAACAACTGCCCTTGGGGATCACCCAGATCCACTTGGATTTTGACTGGGGTTTGGGGGTTGTTACTGCAGCATGTGTAGCCCATCCTTACTGGATACATTTTGAATACTCACATATTTGATCTCCATTTACTTAAGCAGTATAGTCTCTCTCAGACTGCCTGGCTGAAACAACTTGGAGCCACAGAAGGACTCAAGAGGGCCCTGCCTGAGCAAAATGGTACTTTTCCTATTTATTTAGTAAGGAGACAGAATGAATCAAGTGAATAAGTAGAAGAGTTGAATGAATGAAATCCTTAATTCCTGCTTATAAGTCTATTCGTAGGCCTGAAGAAAGTGACTTCAAGATGCTTCCAGGCTCTTTGATATGAGGAAATAGCACCATGACCTCACTGCCAGACTTTCTGCACATTTATTAACCCCCTGAATACTTCATTCATTTCAGGGGTAAGTGGCTGGGGCCAGGCCAGGGCCAAAATGTCAGATGACAACTTCAGGCCAAGCAAACGCATCCTGTGACCAGAAAGATGGACCAGGGCAGGAAAGGGAAGAAAACCAGTGGTGGGTTTTGTGCAAGCCTGGGATGCCTGGTCCCCAGCTACAGAGAGTCTGAGAGGGATGTGAATTCTCCAAAGATTCAATCCCCCCCAAAAAGAGTGATTGAGGCTGTGAGGACTTCATCAAATGATTCCAAAGCTCTGATGAAAGAATAAACATCCTAGAACAGTCATAAACATTAATTTAAAAACATAAGGAGAATGGACGTGGTCATTTTATTTTAAAGGGTTTTAGAAAGCTAACATGGTTACAACAGTGTATTACTGACACAGGACTAGATAAAACAATGTAAAAAACCACAGACTCCAAAAACGGGTCCAAATATACATATATATACATATATATCTTATATATGCCTGATAAAAATAGAAATAGAATACCCAAATTGTAGGAGAATAATGAATTGTTCAATTAGTAATACTGA